TCGTCCCCGAGGCCCATGTGCTAGGAATTCAGGTGTTTTTTTATCAGTGATCACATTTGAGTTTTAGAAATATTACCAACCTCAATAGAGTGATTAGGAACAAAACTGGGCACAAAAAGCCATAGAGTTCTGGCTTAAATTGCTTTGTCTGCCTCCGTTTTACCCAAAATCTCAGGGCTGAAATCTGGCAACTCAAAGGTCACTTTCAATCTTGGTTTATTTGGTCAGCATCGTTTTTTCCCTTTGTGTGCTGGGGATTGAACTCAGGGCCTCTCAAATGTTGGCAAGCACTCCACCACTAAGCTATAATTTCTCAGCCTGGCCAGCACCTTTTTAAAAAATTAACTGCCCCACATTTTAAAATGGGAGGTTCCACACGTTTAAACACTTAACAGATGCCAAGAATGGTGGTGAGTCTTCAGGAGGTGGAGGCAGGAGGAACTAGAGTTCAAGGCCAGCCGTGGTTGCATATAGGGTGACCCCGTCTCCAAAAAAAAAGGCTGGAGATGTAGCTCAAGTGGTAGACTGCCTGCCTGGCAAGTGCAGGGCCCTGAGTTCAAAGCTGAGTAAAACACACACACCAGGAATATTTCAAAAAGAAAAACAGATTTCTAGCTTCTCTTGAAATTCTGGCAATTTGACAATTTGGGGAGCTGATTCTCCTAAGATGGAGCTCAATAACTGCTGCTGCCTTTGGACACACACAGTCTTCAGTTTCTCACATTTCCTACACTACTTCCAAGTAGTGGTATCACTTGCCATTTATCATGTGCTTCTGTTACTTCTTTCTACTGAGCTCTGTTAGCATTTGAATTGCCCACCTTGGTACCATTCCTGCATGGTGTTTCTGAGGAGTGACACAAATCTATTTTAGAATGACTGGTCATGCAAGACAGATTGAAGAGCTAGGACACAGTAAGAAATAAATTGGAAACCTGTTGACGATTCTGAACATAAGATGTACAACTCCAGAGCGACCTGCCTAAGTGACTGGGAAAAATGATACCACTGAGAAATAAGAAGTCAGGGAGAGCTGGCAGTGTAGCTAAGTAGTAGAGCACTTGCGTGGTTTATGAAGCCCTGGGTTTCATCCCCAGCACCATGAAAATGACAACAGCATCAGGAAAAGGATGAAGAAAAGAAAGGAAAGGAAGGAAGGAAGGGAGAAAGGAAGGAATTGGAAAGGGTAGTGATCAATACCTTGCCACTTTATGGTCAAGATCCACAGTTTACCAATTCTGTAATCCATCAGTGTTCTGCTGGGCATACCTTGGGTGTTCAGGAAATTCTAGTTGAATTATAACTCTGATTTCATGTGGACCATATATCTGCTGGGGTAAGGGCTGGAAGAGTTGGAAAGCTTGAATGAAACAAGCAACTTGTGGACCTTAGGAGTTTCCTCCAGAATGGGTGGTCCTTGGCCTTGGGGACAATTAACCCATTTGGGGGAAAATTCTATGCAGAAGTCCTGAAACAAGCATATCATGATAGCACACAGATGTAATCCCAGCACTCAAGAAGCTGAGGGAGGAAGATCATGAGTGAGTTTGAGGCCAGCCTGAGCTACCTAGTAAAACTCCATGGTTAAAATAAATAAAACAAAGCAGAAATTGGGCATGAAAAAAGGGTGAGATGGAAATGGCGTCATTCCAAGGGGAAAGAAAAGCAAAAAGATCAGATTGCATGACATTACCAGGAACATACTGAAACAGCAAGGTCTTTTTATTTTATTTTATCATCATTACATTTACTTACATGTGTATACATTATTTGCCCCCAACCGCCTTCCAAAACAGCAAGATCTTGTTTGGGACATTAAGCAGATTTGGGCCAATCATACTGAGGTTTGAAAGGCTAGACTTCTCAATGTTTTGGTAGTGCACCACTTAAAAGGGAAAAAATTGTTCAGCCCAAACTACAAATTGCCTTTTTAAAAAACAAGTTATTTTTATGCACAAAAGTAATGCTATGCACTATATAAAAATTTACTTTAAAACACCATCCTCCTGATCTCTGCCTCCTGAGTAGCTAGGATTAGAGGTATGAGCCACAGTGCCCAGCTAGACAAGATTTTTCAAAGATTAGACAAAAATAACAGATTCCACCCCCCACCCCATGTGTCATATCATACACACTGGGCACTGCCCTTCCCAAACACACACATCACAGACTCCGATTTAGTGAAAGGGAGTGGGTACATGGTAGCAGTCTCTCTGCAGACTTCAGAAATCGAGACATCAAAAAACTGTGATGGAGGCTGGCGGAGTGGCTCAAGTGGTAGAGCGCTTGCCTAACAAGCATGAGGCTTTGCGCTTAAACTCCAGTACCCCTCCCCCTTCAAAAAAAAAAACAAACGAAAAAGAACTGTGACTGCTGTAGAATGCTTTATACCTAACTCATTTAGTCCCTATAGCAATTCTGCGCTGCTGATACTATTATCTTCACTTAACAGAGGGGGAAACTGAGGCACAATGAGATTTAGGAAGACTACCAGGGTCACAGAGAAGTTAGCGTAGCCAGGTTTTTGCCCCCAGTGGTTTGGGTTCACACTCCCTGGTGTGGGAGTAGAGGAAGCAACCTCGGTCTCGTCGCTCCCTAATCAGAACTGTCGTGAGAGGACAGCGCTGAGACACAGCGAGAGCCGCTAACTGCTGACCCTCCCCTAACGCGGTCGCCTAACGAAGGTCAGTTTATCCGTTGTTCTGGTCTCCAGAACGCAAGGCTGACGTGCGCGCAGGCGCAGATCGGTAGGCCGGGTTTCTACGGTTTCCCAAGCGAGACGGCAAGGCAACTCCGGGAGTCGTGCTGTATACGTCGTGCAGCGGGCCTCCTTTACGGCAGGAGGCTGCGTCGCTTGCTGATCGCCCTAAAGCTGCGTCCTGGAAGGAGACAAGGGCACTGCCGAGGGAAGGTAAGAGCTGCTTACGTCCGTGCGGCAGTTAAGGAGCGTCCCTTTGAAATATTCCCTCTTGGTTTGGGTGTCCCCTTCTCCTGGGCCCGAGCTCTGGGTGTGTTCTCTGCACCTTCAGTACAGCCAACGTCCCCGACGCCTGGAGACTGCACCTCTTGCCCTCCTCTCCCCAGATTAATCGGGCGTTCTGCCGCATTCATGCTTTGGCCTTCTGTTTCTTGACCTGAAGTCCCCGCTGCTTACTCCGGCCTTTAAGGTCTCTGCTTGGTTTCGGCCCAGCCAACGTCATCAGCTTCTTCCCGTCATGCACTCTGCGCTCCCGCCACGCCGAGGCCTCAGTTTCCCAAACCCACCTACCACACTCAGCGTTGCTCTGTTGGGACCTTGCCCACCGACCTTGGCGGACTCTGAACCCATCTCAAAGAAGCTTCCCCTTTGAATCACTCTTACCCTGGCTACTGCCAGTAGGTGCCCCTGGTGCTTAGGTTGAGCTGCTGCTCTCCTCTGCCTGGAACGTAATTACTTAGTAGATGACTGAAAGAAGTTTTAGAAATTAAATTCGCCGGTAAATCTGCTAGGCATACACAATTACATTGACTGACGTGTGTGTTTTTTACACACACACACACACACACACACACACACACCACCTCCTACTGAGGATTGAACCCCAGGCCTGGCTCCCAGCACTCTACTGTGCTCCCGGTCCTTTTGTTTTAACTCCCTGCCTTATCCTCCCGAGTGGCTGAGATTACTGGCATGCACCACCATGCCCATTTCCATGTGGTTTTCCCTTTGGTATTATTGTAGTCTCAGTCTCTCCTTCTTTCTCTCAACATTTATTATGTGTTTGCCATGCCTATTCTTCCCTCCTCCAAATGTGGCATAGTCTAATGAGCACCAGAATTTAATTATTTATTTATTACTGTACATTTATTTCATTTTGGCTGTACTGGGCTTTGAACTCAGGGCCTCACACCTGCTAGGCAGGCGCTGTACCTCTTGAGCCACTCCACCAGCCCTTTTTTGTGTTAAGTATTTTCGAGATAGGGTCTCATGAACTATTTACCCAGGCTGGCTTCGAACCATGATCCTCCTGATCTCTGCCTCCTGAGTAGCTAGGATCACAGGCATGAGCCGCTGGTGCCTGGCACATTTAAGTTGTTTGAAATTCTTTTTTTTTTTTTTTAACCAGTTACTGAGCCTCTGATTGGTCCCTGCCCTCAAAGCAACATTATCCAGTAGGGCTTATACAAGTAAATAGTCCATTACAGTGATGTGCAAAATATTCCTTTGGACGTTGAGACTGTTGTAGCAACACAGAGGAGGGACACTGGATTCAGAAGGGCTTCTTAGGAGATATGTCATCCAAATTGATATTCGAAAAATGGAGCTAGAGGTGTGGCTGAAGCAGTAAAAGGCAAATTTGAAGGCTTGAGTTCAAACCCCAGAGTTTCAAAGAGTGGGTAGAAAAATATAAAGAAATATGTTGTGATTGTACTTTTTTGTTCTTTTCGGTTTTCTTAAGCTCTGTTTCAAAGGAGTGACTTTATTGAGTTAATTTCATAGGTTTTTGTTTCTTTGTCTTTTTGACAGTAGTGGGTTTGAACTCAGGGCTTCACACTTGTTAGGCAGGCTTTCTACCACTTGAGCCATTCCTCCAGTCCTTTGTGTGTTGGGTATTTTTCATACAGGATCTCACAAACTATTTGCCAGGCCTGACCTCGATCTCTGCCTCCTGAGTAGCTAGGATTACACATGTGAGCCACTGGGGCCCGGCCAAACAACCAAAATTTTTGCTTTTGACAAAAATGACCTCATCAGTATACAGAGAATTTCTATGCATCGTGTTTCTGTTTTGTTTTGTTTTCCCCCTGAACTGGGGTTTGAACAGGCCCTACACCTTTGAGCCACTCCATCAGCCCTTTTTATTTGTTTATTTATTTATTTTAAGATAGGGTCTCTTGAACTATTTGCTTGGACTGGTTTTGAACCATGATCCTTCTGACTTCAGCCTCCGAAGTAGCTAGGATTACAGGCATGAGCTACTGGCACCCAGTGTATACATTGTTCTTTAGTTCTAGTTCTCTTTTCCTTAAGTTTTGTGAAGGCACAGCGATTGCTCATCTGCCATAAGCTGGAAGAAACTAATGAAAAAGCTTGGTGAGATGGAATCTGGAGAATGCAGCTTTCTGGAGGGTGTGGTATGATTAACTATCTCATTTTTTCTTAGAAATGACTGATTTGATTGCACTCTTGTGGCATTCTTCTTATTACTTTTGTCTTCCATTACAGCCATGCCTTTCCTTGACTTGCAGAAACGGCTGGGCATTAGTCTAGATCGTCATTTACTAATCCAGAATGCTGAACAGCCCTTCAAGATTCCAACATTATGCCAGGCTTTTGAAAAAGAATGGATAGAATGTGCACATGGAATTGGTGGTATCCGGGCGCAAAAAGAGTGCAGCATAGAACTTGATGATTTCAAAGAATGTTTGCTTCGGCAGAAAACAGTAAGGCAATATGGGGGATGGATTGCTTCCTTGTCTTTTCAGGCTACTCTTTTAAGTGTTCTTAATTGGTTATTGGACAGTGGCTTCCCTAATGTGAATTGGCAAAACTTGTGTGGTGAAGCACTTTCTCTACTTAAGTGTCCTGGGATCTGAGGAGAGTCCACTCTTCCTTGGTGTTCTTGCTCATCTTCTCTCAAATTTTCCCTGGCTAGTGTTGTACTCTGCTGTAGCCACCAGGTTAGAAAGTGCATGTGTGTATGTCCATTTTTCCAGTAGACTATGAAGCTAAGACTATCAACCAGCTTTGGATGTTGGTTCTTGAAAATCTCCTGAGAGAAGAAATCTTTGAGTTTGGGCTGTCATTTTGCCTAATATTTTTAGTTCCAGTTTCTTGGAATTCAGGAAAGTAACCTAGATTTTCAGTTAAATTTATAGCAAAGTCATCTGGATCAAAAAATCCTTATCTGTTAACATTTGCTACTGGCATTTGAATAAAGTAAAGCCAAACTTGAAAGGAATGAAAGAGTGCCAGTATGTTTTTGTATTGATCTCTGCAGGAATATTGATCCTTAGGTAATATTTTAGTCTTACTGAGGAACAGTGGGTGGTTCATGTTCACAACATGACTTAATTTCTGTTCTTTTGGTTCCCAGTTATTTATTGCACAGATCAAGATTTTGAACAGTCTTGAACAATTTACCCCAAGAAGAACATTGGGTTGGGAGTTGAAAGAGCCAGGTTCTGATGCTGCTTCTGCCACCAGTGGTTTTGTGATTGAACAAATCACCTCCCCTTGGTCTTGGTTTCCTTTTCCTGGAAAATTTACAATTTTGTTATCAGGTCGCCTCCTAATCCTGTGAGTTTATGAATAGATACCATTTGAGAAGTCATCCTAAAGGACTAGACACTTTGCTGTAGTTAAAGCAGCAAGTGAATCAGGCAGTTACAACCAAGCACTGTTAGCATGTAATAACGCATTTCTTAAAACAAGCCTGTGAAATGAGTTACTCTTATTTTCCTCATTAAATAATTAAAAATTTAAGAGGAATTGGAGTACAGCTCAATGATAGTGTGGTGCCTTGCAAGTGCAAAGCCCTAGGGTCTAATTAAATGCACCACCATCATCAAAAAATCCTAAAAAACTCATATATCCTAGCGGTATAACTTTGTGGTAGAGTGTTTGCATGTGCAAAGACCTGGGTGCAATCCCTTGCACCATAAAACATCAACAACAACAAAGCACTCTTATAGCTAGTAAGTGGTGGAGTTGAGATTTTGACCTGGTAAGGCTACTCCACAGCCTTGTTTTCTTTTTTTAATCCACAACACGAAAACACTAAGTGCTACGTGTTTTTCTTTATTTTTTTATTTGGTTTTGTGTATCTGTATTGACCCCAGGGCCTCTCACCTAATAAGCATGTACTATAACTATTGACTTACCCTCAGCCCCAAGATTTGACATATGGTGGTGTCATAGCCCAACCGTGACTAGTTCTCTATTGGGAGATTCTTTAGTAGAGAAATGTAAGCATGTAGTCTTTTAAAAATGATTAATATTTGTATCAGTATTCAGGATACTTGTGTTTTTTCTACTGAAGTTACATCAAGACTGCTTCTTTAAAGTTAATGAGATATTTAACTGAATATAAAAACTCTTCATGCCTTTGAGACAAGGTACTCAAAAACATTTATCAAAGCATGTATTGTAGCAGGAACTATCTAGGCACTAGGGATATAGCAATAAGCAAAACAGCAAAAGGTCCCTGATTTCATGGAACTTACATTCTAGTAGAAGGAAGGACAGGAAATTAGCGAATAAATACTTAAAATATGGTGTGTTCGATGATATGTGTGATGGGGAAAATAAAGAGAAAGAAAGTGGTAGGGTTTTAAGAGGATGGTATTTATAGTATTAGAATGGTTCAAGAAGAGCTCAGCAATAGAAGACACTTAGCAGACTTAAAGCCACATGAGTAAGAGGGAAGATTCCTCCAGGCAAGGGAACAGCAAGTGCTCAGGTCCCTGGGCAGGCCCTCTTACTACTTTAGCCACTCTGCCAGCCCTTTTTTTTGTGGTGCGTTTTTGAGATAGGGTCTCTCAAACTATTTGCCCAGGCTGGCTTCAAACCTAAATCCTTCTGATCTCTGCCTTCTGAGTAGCTAGGATTACAGGCATGAACCACTGGCACCCAGCTTTAATTATAAGTTTTCAAGGAGCCATTATTAATACTAAAAATGTATTTGTTCAAAAGCTTGGGAAGTGATTTCAAGTTACTTTTTAAAAGATGGACATCAGGGCTGGGGCATAGTTAAATGCTAGCTGGATTTGATTCCCAGCATTGGGGAGTAAAAAAAGGAAAAAGATTTCATCTCAGAGGCCCTCTTAGATAAGAAGCCATCCTCTAGAGTTTAAGAATGAAGCCAAAATCTAGCTTTCTTCGGTCCTCACTTTCTGGTGGGTATTTCCCTCTATTTTAATGGGTTTTTGGGGGGTTTGTTTGTTTGTTTATTTACCTCTGACAGATGAAACGCATGTGGACCATCCAGAAACAGCGGGAGAAGCTAATAAAGGAAGGGAAGTACACCCCCCCACCTCACCACATGGGCAAGGCAGATCCCAGGCCCTGATCACTGGAGGCTGATTTTCAAGTTGTTTGTGTTCCACTGAAAAGGTTGTTCACTAAAAACCTCTTCATCAAAATGTGTAAAAATAAAGGATTTCTCCATCTTGTTCTGTTTTCTTTTGGATCATAGTTTTCCATAATGAGATTGCAACTTATTTTTTTGTTTGGAAAAATGCACTTACCTGTGCCTAAAAAATTAGCATGTAGGGAATGATTAGCATTTTCTGATAGCTTACCGTGTATGAGGTATTCTGTGAATGAAGCAGAAATAGTCACTCTATTCTTTAATGCTTCCATTCTGGTTTATTTTCTGTAACACAGACTTAGGCTGTGGGGAGGAGGCAGTGAAGACCATGGTTGTGTGTTTTAAGGTTTGTGAGCTCTAACTTGAAGGCTAAGAGAGTGCCAAGTTCAGATTATTTATTTATTTATTTATTTATTTAGGCTTTTTGAGATAGGTTCTGTGTAAGCCAAGCTGGCCTCTAACTCTAGATTCTCCTGCTTCCACTTCCTGAGTTGCTGGGATTAGAGGTATGTACCACCATATCTGGCCAGATAATTTAATTTTGAAGAAACAGTATTTGTTTTTTCAATTTGGTATCTTAAATCGGTTGAGTATTGGTACTTCTAGTTGACATGTTTAGAAACCTGTTTTTGAAAGAAAAATGAAGATACTGTAAATCAAAACTACACTGAGATTCCACCTCACCCCAGTGAGAATGGCAATCATCAAGAAAACAAACAAGGGGCTGGTAGAGTGCCTCAAGTTGCAGAGTACCTGCCAAGCAAGCAGGAAGCCCTGAGTTCAAACTTAAGTGCTGCCAAAAAAAAAAAACCACCAAAAACAAGGATGTTGGCTGCTGACTTAGGGGTGGAAGGAAGGAGTCCTTGTATACATGGTTAGTGGGAATGTAAATTACTGCAGCCATATGGAAATCAGTATGAAGGTTCCTCAGAAACTAAAAATAGAACTGTCATGTGATCCACAATACCACTCCTGGGCATACACTGGAAAGAATGTAAGTACATACTATAGAGATTCCTGTACACTCATGTTTATAGAACGCTATTCACGTTAGCTAAACTAGAATCAGTCTAGGTGTCCATTGTCAACTGATGAATGGATAAAGAGAATGTGTCACCCAATGGAGTTATTTAGCCATGAAGAATGGAATGGTGTTTTTAGGAAATGAACTTGAAATCACATTAAAATAAGAAAGACAAATATTGCATGTTCTCATGTGGAATTAACTTAGACATTAAAATGACACTAGTATAAAATGGACTTTGGGAGAGGGAGAAAAGGTGAGGGTGAAGGGGTGGTGAATATGATTGAAGTAATGCCTAGGATTCATGGGAACAGAATAATGAAGCCTGTTAAAATTGTTTAAAGCTAGTGCTAGTGACTCATGCCTATAATCCTAGCTTACTTGGGAGGAGGAGATCTAGAGAGTTGCAGTTCCACACCAGCCCAGGCAAAAAAGTTTGTAAGACCCCATCTCAATGGGCATGGTGGCCCACGCCTGTCATCCCATCTATAGCAGGAAAGAAAGATAGGCTCTTGGTCCAAGCCAACCTCAGCCTGGCTGGCCTCAAACCTCAATCCTCCAAATAGCTGAGATTACAGGCATGAACCAACCATGTTCATATCCCCTCCCCTCCTCTTTTTGAGATAGGATCTCCCTATGTAGCCCAAACTGGCCTCAAAATCTTGAGATCATCCTGCCTCAGTGTTTGGAATAATAGGATTATGGGTGTGCACCACCACATCATTTTTAATTAAGGTATTAAAATTTACTACCTTAGGCCATGAATGTAGTTTAGTAGTGGAACATGGCCTAGCAATTGCTAGCACTGTGGGGAAAAGTACTACCTTGAGCATTTTAAAGTGTACAGTTTAGTGGCACTGAGCACATTCATACTGTTGTTTAACCATCACCACCATCCATTTCCAGAACTCTTTCATTTGTAAAACTGAAACTCTTAACTCCCGTTCTCTCTTCCCCCAGTCTCTCGCAACCTTCATCCTATTTATTGTCTGTTTCAATGATTTTGACTTCTTTAAGTAACTCAAATAAGTGGAATCATACAGTATTTGTGTTTCTGTTTGTTTTTGCAGTGGTGAGGATCAAACCCAGGGCCTTGCACATGCTAGACAAGCACCCTACCACTGAGCTACACCCCCAGTCCACTATTTGTCCTTTTCTGACTGGCTTATTTCACTTACAGTGTTCTTAAGATTCATCCATGTTGCAGCATGTGTCAGAATTTCGTTTTTAAGGCTGGATAATATTCCATTGTACGTTCCACGTTTTGCTTGTCCATCTTGTCAGTGGGCATTTTATATATTATGAATAACACTGCTATGAAGGTGTGTACAAATACCATGGAGACCATGCTTTCAGTTCCTTTTTTTGACTACTGGGGTTTGAACTCAGGGCCTCACACTTGCTAGGCAGGTGCTTTGCCATTTGGCCCACTCCGCCAGCCCACATGCTTTCAGTTCTTTTGAATATGCACTGGGAAGTGGAAATGCTTGTCCAGCACTTCACATTGGTAGTATCAGCTACTCCAGAGCCTGGGGGAGGATGTTTGCCCGAATCCAGAAGGGGTGTGTGTGCATGTGTTTCTGGGGATAGAACTCAGTACTTCACTCTTGCTCTACTCCTTGCGCCATGCCTCCAGCCCTTTTATCTCTGGTTATTTTTGAGATAGGATCTCACTTTTTACCCCAGGCTGGCCTGGATCATGATCCTATTTATGTTTCTTGTCATAGCTGGGTGACAGGCATGTGCCACCATGCCCAGCTTTTATCTGTTAAGATGGGAGTATCACAAACTTACTTCTCCAGGGCTGGCCTTGGGACTTCGATCCTCATTATCTCAGCCTCCTGCAAAGCTGGGATAACAGGCGGACATGTCACTGCCCAGCTATTGGCTGGGATGGGATCTCCTGAATTTTTTGGTAGGGCTGACCTTGAACCCAGAGCCTCCTGATCTTAGCCTCTCAAGTGGCTAGAATTATAGGCATGAGCCACCAGTGCCTAGCAAGCCTAGAAGTTTTAAGATCACATGACAAGACCCCATTTCTTAGAAGAAGAAAGAAATGGAATTGCTGGGTTAATTCTATTTTTGAGGCAGGCTAGAAGTAGGCAAAGTTCAGGACTCATGTTAGTTGCCCAGGGACGGCCTAGACCGCCCTCACCTGGCTGGGAACCACCCATGCCCCTCCCCACTCATTGATTACTGGATGGGAATCACCTAGTTCCATCCTCCTAGATTAGCGTAAATTATAAAAGTACCTAAAAGGAGAAGCACGCTCTCTCGGCCTCCAGATTCCACATCTCCCCTTTGTATTTTCCTTCAACTTTTAATAAACTCCATTTACACCCATGTGTCCTGCCATGGATTCTTCCCTCGGGACACAAAGAATTGGGAAGTCTTCTGATCACAGATTGCACTGGCGCTGTTAACATTTTTATTTATTTCTGAAGACAGGATTTGAGCCCAGGGCCTCGTGCATGCACACACTCTAGCACAGACCTAGGCTGCAAGCCCCTGACAAACCACCGTACTGCCTTTTCCAGCAGCTATCTAGTTCTCACTGACTCTGCCTGGGGTTCCAGTTTCTCCAGGTGCTCAGTGCTTGCTGAGTTGCTGAGTTTTTTAACTCGAGAGCCATCCTAATGGGTGGTGAGGTGGTACGGTATAGTTTTTACTTCTTTTTACTGTACCATATAGTTGTACTTCTTTCCTGGGTGATGTTAAATATCTTTTCATGTGCCCACTGTCTGTTTCTGTATTTTCTTGGGATCTGTTCAAGCCTTTTCTGGTCTTTGTTTTTGAGGTGCAGGAGGTTGAAAGAAGGGCCTTACACTGCTAAGCAAGCATTATATCTCTGAGTTGTACCTTCACCCCACTTTGTTGTTTATTTGGGTGGTTTGGTTGAGTTTTACATATATTCTATATATGAATTCCTTATCAGTAAATGACATGCAAATATTTTCTGTCATTCTGAGGTTATCTCTGTTGATATTGCCTTTTTTTTTTTTTTTTAATTTTTTACAAGACATGGTCTTGCTAGGTTGCCCAGGCTCTACTCCTGGGTTCAAGCCATCCTCCTACTTCAGCCTGTGGAGTTGCAGGCATAGACCACTGCTCCTGCCTTGTTAGTGGGGTCCCCCTTTTTTTTTGACAGTACTGGGATTTTAATTCAGGGCCTCATGCTTGCTAGACAGGTGCTCTACCACTTGAGAAACTCCACCAGCCCTTTTTGTGTGTTGGGAATTTCCTAGATAGGCTGTCTTGAATAACAGTTTAACTAACCCGGGCTTGTCTTGAACCATGGTCCTCCTGATCTCTGCCTCCCAAATAGCTAGGATTATGGGTGTGAGTCACCAGTGCCCAGCTATTTTAGTTTGCTTGTTTGTTGTTGCTTTTTTGTTGTTGTTGTTGAGACAAGGTACCATTATATAGCCCAGGCTGGCCTTAAACTCAGATCCTTCTGCCTCACCCTTCCGACTGCTGAGGTTCCAGGTGTATAACACTACACCAGATGATAGTGTCTTTTGATTAATGAGGTATTTTAATTTTGTGTGTGTGTGCGTGTGTTGCTGGGGCTGGAACTCAGGGCCTACACTTTGAACCACTCCACCAGCCCTTTTGTGAGAGGGTTTTTTTGAGATAGGGCCTCAAAAACTTCCCCAGGCTGGCTTCAACCACGATCCTCCTGATCTCTGCCTCCTGAGTAGCTAGGATTACAGGTGAGCCATTGGCACCTGGCAGGATTTTAATTTTTATGAAGTCAAGTTATTTTTATTTCTGTTGCCTATACCTTTGGTGTTAAACACAAGAAATCATTGCCAATTCCATTATTGTGAAGATTTTGCCATATACTCTGAGATAGAGTTTTAGATCTCACAGGTCTTGGGTCCATTTTGAGTTAATTTTTGTATATGGCATTAGGTGATGGTCCAGCAATATTCTTTTGCATGTGGATATCCAGTTTTTCCAGAAAAAAATTGTCCTTTTCAAGTTGAATGGCCTTGGCACCTTTGCTGAAAAATCATTTGACTAAGCAGGGTGTGGTGGCACATAGGCCTGGAATC